TTACTATATATTATTATATATATTATTATATATTATATATGTATTATATATAGTATATATATATTATATAGGCCTATATATATTATATATATTATATATATAGACCACTGTTATGCTTATTTATTGATTTGTTTTTATTGTGTTCATAATATAAATGCTAGAGAATAACTCATAATTAAACTAAGAGCTAAAGCAACCCTTATTTCAAAAAACATAAATGCTTTAATATTTGTTGTCTTCACGTTGACTGGTACTCAGTATTTAAACATATGCTAGCGATTTTTTTTATGTTTGCTAACACAAATTTATTTAAAAGATATATTATTATTATTATAATAAAAGTTGTTACTTAAGACGTAAAACTGACATTGCAATAGTACAGATGATAATAACGCACAGCTTAGATCAGGTTATCAATATGAAGAAAAAATATGTCAAGATTAGGAGTGTTTGTACCTGTCTGTAATAATAATTTCAAATACATGCCTATTGAGTCTGAATAACAGAACTTTAATACATTATACATTCATTTATAATATAGAGAAATTTCAATTGGAATAAATACATTATACACTATATTGCCGTTATAGATACATTAGTTTATTTTGTGAAGACTGATATATCATATCCTACATTACAATACTTGATCTCCTACTAAAAGAATCAATAACGGTAATTAAAAAAAGTGTATGCCTAAGCAGGTAAGGCAAAAACAAACACTTTTTTCACTTTACCGATTTTGTTTAGTAGAAACTGTGACTAGTTTCAGTAAATAAGTTTACTTACCTGGACCTGAGCCTGTAGTGATACAAACATTAAGAACAAGGAGTATTGACCGAAATACAGCAGATGACATGTTGAAACAAACGAGACACACAAGCAATTGGCTTGTTATACAGAATAAGATATAGCAAAGTGAAAACAATACGGAAATCCATTTCGCAACTTTCAACAATGAACATGCAATCTGCAAAGTAAGGATCCTTGATTATTTTACCACTGTCACATTTTTCACAAGCATAATACAATAGTACAAAGATAGAAGTCTTAACATAAAGTGATTTGCATACTAATGTTATTTATTATTATTATTCATTGCGTTTTACATTATAAATTGCGGAAATGTATCGACCACATTGTTACCTTATCTCAACCATTCGGAAATCATTAGCTGGATAATAGTGTCTTCGTTTTGTTGCTGTGTTGTTGAGTCCAATCTTCTGTTCGTAATTGTTCATGTCACTCAATTGATAATTCCGAAGTGTGCTGTCAGCATCATAATGTTTAGATAATCAGCTTTTAGTGAAGCCCTGAACCAAATAAGGAATGCCATATACCCACATAAAATTATACTATTCACCCTTATGAATACAGGACAAGCAGGTGTGGCTCCAGAAGTTGCCCGACGGAAGGGGCACTAATGTCCCCAACGAAAAAAATGTAGCGTGGTCGGGCGTTGCTCAAAATCGCTCGAAAGCGTTCCGGGGGCGAAACGTATTTATTCGATTTTAGAGTCTACTGTATGTAGAAAATACATATACATTTTTTCCCCGACGGGGGTGGAGAGGCTCTCTCTCCTGCTGACACCCCCCCCCCCCGGTGTTGCCACCCCTGAGGACAAGCAGTCAGGATAAGGAATATAACCAACAGATGCCGGGGCCACAGGCCAAGCGGTCAGCCCTGCTTCCAGAAAAAAAGATAAACAGAGAGAAAAATGAAAAAAAAAAAAAAAAGATGAGAAAGGAGAGAGAGAGGAGCACAGTACTCCAAAAGAAGGTTATTTTTGATTTATGATCAAGCATTTCGACAAGAAAATCAAACAAAACCTCCCCAGCTCGGTGTTTTGAACGTCGTGTCTGTTTTGCAGGGGTATGATTGCCATTGAACTTGCTGAGAATTTTGTTTTGTCAGTTTTCGATATTTTGTTGTTTGGATTTTAACCACGAATGTAGGTCATTGGCTCCAATATGAAGTTATTGCTGTCGTTTATTTTGTGGTATTGTCGTATCACTGTGTGACTGGTTGAGCGCAATACAAAGGAAGGAGGAAGGAAATCATAAATTTTAAATGACCAAACGATAGTTTAATAAAGCCAAACTATGTCACCTAATGTATTACTTTCATTTTAAGATAGCAAAAAGGTTTGTTATTAATGTCAATGTCAATATTTTCGTGTCTACTGCCCACCTCAGAGGGGGAGGGGAGGTGGAGGAAGCAGACATTTTGTTATCGTCTGCCAGTTGACCGGTGGAGGAATGATGGATGGTTAATGAGGATCAATGAGATTGTTGTCATTCAAAAACAATACGCCTATTTGACAGAAATAATTACAGAATTGAGTGGGACAAAGATAATTGATAGAAGAATAAATAAAGTTACTTTGCTGATGTTTATTTAGGTCTATGTCATTTAATTTTAATAAGTTGAGGGAACTTAATAAAGGGCAGTGTGGGTTACTTGAGTATGATACTCGTCTATAGCTATAGGCTGCAGGATTGGGTAACGGGAAAGATACGTTTGAATATAACTAAACACGGCTTTATCCATAATATGATAGCTGTATAATGTAAGACTGATATAAACTAGAAGCTGTTTAATACAATTGACAATTAATAATGTGCGTTTACATTTTCGGCTGTCGCTTACCAATTCTGTATCTCTACAATATCCAACCACTGTTCCCAAATAATTGTTATTATCATTCTTTAGCCATAGGGCCTATATAATATTTTAGTATTTAATTCTAAAGTAAACATTTTTCTTAACCGTTTACGCGATATTTAACGATAACGATAACTTTCGAAACACACGTGGGCACATCTTGTTCATATATATATATATAATTATTATTGCTAGACATTTAATAAAGAGAACAATATGTTTTGTCAGCTGTTAGGTTAAGTGTATCATGTAATTTACATACACGGTGAAAGTAGTTATAGATAACGTGAACCTAACGCCCAAGCTTCACACTGATGATGGAAATTGGTATTTCCAAAACATGTCTGTTAACTGTTTAATGCGTAAACAAGGTGGAAGAAGTAAACACTATGAGAAAAAAACTTATATCGATTGTTCTCTTTATAAAATGTCAATGGCAATAGTAATTTCTTCTAGATGTTTCGGTAGCACTGCATATGATTTGGCTGATAAACACAGCGGACAACTACTAATTAGTGATTTATGCAGGCTGGAAAAGCTATCCATTAAGTCGAGGAAAGCAGAGTTAGATGTTAACTTCCTGACCAACTGTTCGACATTCAACGTATTTCCGAGATTCATCTGTTTTGATTTGCCGAACACAAATCATAATGATGTACAAGCAATCCGAAAACGACTGCTACGAAGTGCCATTAAAAAACGACTCAAAGAACTTAAAAAGCTAAATCAAGACAACCAAAACAAATCAATGGAAATCAAAACAATACTATCGACAACTGATTACTATTTTCTGATGAAGGCTGTCAACCGGAACGTAAAAGAAGCAATTTCTAAAATGACAAAAGTACACGATGCAAAACTAAAAGGGTTTACCAAGAACGCTGCATTATCATTCACGGCAGGTGAAACGGTTACTAATCTCTCCTCAATACATCTTTGCAAGGAAGAAATGTTGAAATTAGCTCTTGCATACTCGATAATGCCACCTAAAATCAACAAATTTGCAACGTTTCCTTAGGAAATTAAAGAAAGGTAGAAAATTTGATGATGATCAATATAAGCAAATTTATCCAACGGGTTCCCAACCCGCTAGGATTTATGGGCTCTCGAAATTGCATAATTTAAAACACAATAATTCTAAACTCAAATTTCGTCCCATCATTTCGTCCATAGGCACTTATAATTACGATCTTGGTAAGTTCCTTTGTGAAATATTATTAGATCCTGCTATACCAAAGATTGTATGGCCAGATTGATTTAGTTTTGTCAATACTGTAAAATCACATGATACGGCTAACAAGTTTATGGTATGTCGTTTGATGTAGAGAGCCTATATACACTAACGTCCTTTTACGAATAAAGAAATTGTGTAATAAAATTCCTCTGACGAGATTCGAACCTGCGACCTCTCGCTGTTAAGGCGAGCGTCATAACCATTACACTACAGATTCAAATTACCGCCAAACACACTCCATTACACAATAAGACATGAGTAGCAGAATCAAAACAGCCGAATTAGCATTCATAAAATTAGGAAACATATGAAGTCAAAGAAATATAGCAGAAAAACCAAATTTAAACTTTATAATTGGTGCGACCGGTCCTACTATACTGATGCGTAACATTTGAACAGAAGAAATGAAAAGAGGCTCGACTCATTTCAATACAAATGCTTAAAGAAAATATTGCAAAATATGGTGGCCAATATTGTCTCAATGGAAGAAATGACGAATATAACCAATATTGCAAAGATCAGTCACGAAGTAAAGCGAAGAAGATGGAATTGGATAGGGCATATACTAAGAAAGGAAAATAAACATTATTGCATGACCGCATTAACATGGCAGCCAGAAGGAAAAAGAAAAGTTGGAAGACCAAAAATTACTTGGAGAATGACAGTAGAAAGAGAGGGCAAATATCAGGGATGGACATCGTGGATTAAGGTGACAGTAGCCAATATATTAAAATGGGAAGTGTGTAGGCCTTATGTGCCAGTAGGCACGAAGATAGGTAAAGTAAGGTAAAGATTTAAATTTGTAGGAAGAAGCCAGAAACAGCAAGAGAATTAATGCAATAAATAATATACATTGAATCGTAACAGAAGAAGAATCATCTTCCATCAGGACTCAAACCCGAAAACTTTCGAAACCTTTCGCATAATCGTTCCTGACGTCACGATTTTGATATAGCGCTAATATCACACATGGTCATACTAGTCAGAGATCTGTAAGATACGTCTTATTCTGCGCATCAATTTCAGTTTTCTGGATCTCGAACGTTAAATCTTTATCATATCATTATTTATTTATAAAACAACACCTCTTCAGAGACATTTCCTTGCCGTCAACTGTTTATGAAGAGAGGGTGCATCATTATCGATTTCTATTATTTGCCATGCTTTTTTTCAATTCGATTAATATTCAAGTTACATTTCGTGTCACAATCAGTACAGTTATAGAAGTGATCTGAGAAACTAGAAGGTGTAAACTAAAAAGCAAGCTGTAGGGCCTACTTCTTCACATGTGTAACCTTTAAAAATAAAAAAAAAAATAAAAACTATACAAAAAATACGTAACATACACAATCTTATAATTGTGTAGATAAGCATACCTTCCTGCAACACACGAAGTACATGGGCGGATTTAGAGGGGGGGGGTTGCCTGCGACCCCCCACCCCCTTATATCACAATTTTTTTGGGGGGGGGGATAATTGAATGGATACACAATTCCATAGAAAGGTTGATTCTATGTCATATC